CAAGGTCAGCACTGACGCCGGAGACTTCAGGAGGTGCTCACTCCAACAGGGGCGGGGTGCTCCTCCACTGCACAGCATAGTGTGTCGCTGCCCCTGAAATAAAGGGTGAGGTTGGGCGCCGTGGCTCACGCCTGTAATCCTAGATACCAAGGAGACTGAGATCTGAGGATCGTCCATGAGATGCCTATCCCCAGTTAACCACCAAAAAGCCAGACGTGAAACTGTGGCTCAGGTGATAACATGCCAGCTTTGAGCAAAAAAAGAAAAAGCTCAAGGACAGCACCCAGGCCCCAAGTTCAAGTCCTAGGACTGACACCAAAAGCAGGTGAGAGGTAAGGATGTGGGTGATGGGGGATGGGTCCGTGGTGCCAGTGGCCACTGACGGCGAGAGCCTTCCCACTCAGCCCCGCCCCCAACGCATGGCCCACAGCCTGGACTGCAGAGGAGACACCGACAAGGAACCAGGGAAGGGGAAGGGTCCCCACACCCCTCCCTGGTCCTTCTAAGACACAACACAGAGTGCAGCGAAGATCACCAAAGGCCTTCCAGCCCTCTAACACCAGGGAGGCTCACCTCTGGAGGCCCGGGGAGGCCCTTGCCCTCACCGGCGCAGAGGGTCCTGCTGGGGGCCACTGCCAGCCTCGAACCGAGCTCTCTCCATCTGCACACCATGGCGCCCCCCTCCACCATTACTCCACGTTTGCATCTGAGTTTTTAAAGTCAGGAAGTTCCTATGCCAGCTGCACCCTCCAGCAGTGTGACACACCGAGGAGCCGGAGACCCTCTCTTCCTCCCTGGCCAGTCGGAACCCAGATGACCACGTGGGCAAAGGCTCCGTGTCCCCGTCCCCCACAGCCACGCTTTCTCTGCCTAACCTCTGGCCGATCTCACACTCAGCATCTGCAGTTTCCTCTCTCCTTCCTCTCCAGGCTCCAGCAGACCCAGCTTCCACACTCATTTCCCGCCCAGCCTAATCTGTGTTACCGCTCAGGGCGCCCCCCAACCCTGCCATCTTCGTCTGGCCCCCCCCAGCCTGGACCCCCCTCCCCGGATCATGTCTGTCCTGCTCACCAATGTCTGTCCATCCATGTGGGGGCTGGCCTCATCCCACGCTTAGTGAATACCTGTTGGAGGTTTGGTAGATAGGTAACGACTTCTATCCAATTCCTGGTGTTTGAAACTCTGTGATTAGAGTCCCTGTCACTGAATTACAGCAAATGTGGGGCTGGTCCTGGGCTCACAGACAGACAACTAGGCAGGGAGAGGGCACAGTGCCTCCTGCTCGTGCCAAATTGAAGCAGCCTGGGCTGGTCAGTCATGTAAGCATTAGTATAAACAAGTATCTGCATGCTAACAAGAAAAGATCATTTCAGAGAGGAAAGATGAGCAGAAGCAGAGCACTGGGGTCTGACAGACGGGAAGAGGGGGCTCTGACAGGTGTGTGTGCAAAGGGCCGTAGCCCGGGCCCTGGGTGAGGCGGACAGGCCAGCTCCGCTCCCTCCTTCCACACAACCGCTCACCAACGCTTTCGGTTGGGTCTTTGGGTCACAGTTGCAAACCCACCGTGGTGCCCATCCACCCCAGACCATCGTCTACTTTAAACGGGACTCCTTGGAACACCCGGGCGCCAGGAGCTGAGGTTCAGAAGGAAGAATGCAGGGGAAGCGTGGCTGTGCAGAGCCCCGCGGCCAGATGGGGTGGTGAGGCGCGGCCCTGCGCCCATGGCAGGCCGGCACCCTCTGCCCGCAGCGGTGACAGCGGTGCCTGGAGATGCCAGGCCCCCGCGAATACCAGCCCCGCTGCAGGCTGAGCAGGCTCTCTGGTGGCATCTGGGATGTGTGGCTGTGCACAGAGGGGGCCGGGCCCCAGAGAGTCCCCAACCTCTGTGTGCTTCGCAGGGCCATCGAATGGCTGGAAAATGCCCAAGAGACACAGAGCGAGGTGCCATGCTGGATATGTTCTGGCCTTCTGAAAGGAAGAAGGGAGCAAGGGGAGGAGGAAGGGGCTGGGAGAGAAAGGTCGGGCGGGGTGAGGACCCTCTGTGACCTGCTAATGCAGAGGTCTTGTCCTCTTCTGCCTCCCCTGGCCCTAGCTTGGGCCCACTCCAGAGCCAAGGCCCGCTGTGGGGAGGGCTGGGGGCCGCAGGACAGGCAGGCCCCCGCCTCCCCCGCGCGAACAGGCCGGTTTTTACCTGGGGAGCCTGACAGCTGTGTGCCAGCACCGCTGCCCGGGAAGGGCATCTGACACGTTTCTGCGCCGTGTCCCCTCTTTCAAGGTCACTGAGCGCCAGCGCTGCCCTGCGCCGCGCAGCGGGCGGTGGGCAGATGGTGAGCAATGTCACGTCCTGGGCACCGGGTGGCGTGAGGACCCGAGGTCTCGGCACTGCGAAGTGGTGACACTCGGCCGGCAGAGCAGCAGCCACCCAGACACGTCTCCCGTCCCCCGTGCAACCTCCTTCCCGCACAGAGAAGAAACAGGCTGTCAAGCAAAGGGGAGGCCGCAGGAGTGACCCAGCTGATGTCTGAGAGTCGGGGATCAAATCAGTCCGTGTGTCCACCAGGACGCAGCTTCAAATACAACATGGGAGCAGGGCGCCGGTGGCTCACGCCCGTCATCTCAGCCACTCAGGAGGCTGAGGTCTAAGGATCGCGGTTCAAAGACAACCGTGGGCGGGAAGTCTATGAGACTCTTATCTCCAAAGAACCACTAAAAACGCCAGAAGTGGAACTGTGGCTTAAATGGTAGAGCACCAACCTTGAGCAAAAAACAAACAACTCAGGGACAGTACCTACACCCTGAGCCACAGGACTGGCGCGCGCAGGCGTGTACACACACACACTACCAGAACAGTGCAGGACCTCACCACTGAGCAGTGAGCCAGCTGGGGAATGACAGGTGTAACAAACCAAACAGACTGGAGTTCAGTTTCCTGCCACTGACAATCAGCACCCAGGGCCTTGTGCGCAGGTGCTGTGGAAGCAAGACAGCAATGAGAGGAAAGGAGAAGCCCGTGCACTTCTCCTGGGGCGGGAGTTGGAGGATGGGCAGCCCGCACTGGAGGAAGCCGGGGCTCCAGGGCACTGGTTCCCTCAGGGCACCGGTGCTACCAGCCAGTGCCAGGATGAAAGCTGGGTGTATCGGAGCCTGGGCTCCTCTAAGAGCCTGGGAGCTGTGGGATTCTGGGACACGGGGCAGGCTGCAGAGCTGGGCATTTGTGGCGCTCCTCTGGGCTGGCAGGCTTGGCATGGGTAGGGTGGGCCAGTTGAAATGGTGGCCGCCCAGCCTCTTGGGAGGTGTCTGCTTGCCAGGGTGCTGGCATCTGTACCCATGCAGAGTCCAGAAGCACCGAGAAGTGGCAGGGCTGGGCCTTTCTCCCAGTGTGACCAGATGCAGGGCTGAGCTCCTCGGGAGGGAGCTGCCTTCAGATGCCAATGTCACGTGCAGGCCAGCGGTTAGCACCTGCCCGGAATCTTCCCGCTCCAGCCCCACTCCTAATGAGCTTCATTTTCTGTGAATGAAAATCCATTTGCCACCTACCATGTGCCCAGGAGTGCAGCTCCCAAACTTCAAAGGCTTCTTCCACCCGCTCCCAGCCGCCTTCCCCTCCCCACCAGGCCTTCCCTTTTTAATTTAAACTTTAATTTTGCAAGTCTGGGTGAAGTGAATGGCAAAAGTTTGGGTTCTTCTGGCTCCAGAAAAGTCAGTGTGGGCTGGAGAGGGAGCTGGAAGTCAGGAAAGCCAGAAAGAGGCCAGATGGGCTGCTGACGCAGCGCTCAGCTCCTGGGGTCTGGAGGCCCTGAAAGCCTTCTGTGTCCTGCCTGCTCCACGGGGGGGGGGGAGGGAGAGAGGTCTTCTCCACAGTCCACCAAGAAGGGCGGGCGGGTGGGCAGGCAAGCATCACAGGGTGATGCTGTGGTCTGGCTAATCCAGGGCAATGTGTGAGACCCTTCTGCGGGCTCCATATGAAGGAGAAGAGTATGGAATGGTCTGAGGTGTTCCCATCTAGCAGGGGTCTGTCTGAAGCTTGGGTGTGGAATCTTCACAGCAATGGGGCACGGCTGGATGGATGGAGGGTGCCATGTAGAAGACAGGCAAGCCTTGCCCAGGCCTGGCCTCCGTTCAGCACAGTCAACATGCACCGTGGACGGGACAGATCACAGCGGAATTTGAAGGGCCGTGTACCCCGGCTTAGGGGCTCTGGGGACAGGATAGGGACATGGAGAAGAGGAGGCCAGGCCCCGTGAGGCAGGGCAAAGGGCAAAGTCAGTCCATCCCTGCATGGGATTGGGAACAGGCCTCAGTGATCTGTGGACTGAGTCTTTCTGAACAAGTACTGCTGGGAAGTCCTCAGGGCAGGGCTCCCCTAGCTCTGCTAGTGCCTCCACCCCTCCCCACTGCCACCGTCCACCAGCTGGCCCTGGGGATACCGTGGGCTGCAGGGGTAGAGCCCGGGCATCTCCGTGTCTTCATGAAGACTTCATCACCACTGCTGCCGCCGCCGCCGCCGCCGCCGCCGGAAGGCAGGGGACCCAGGCTCAGAAAGGTCAGTGGCGTCACAAGGCCGCACAGTGCCCAGCGGCTCCCCACACCTCACCGGGGGCCCATGGGTAGCAAAACCTGCGGGGACTGCAGGGAAACCTTTCCTTCCCCAGAGATGCCAGGCTCGACGTCACCCCAAGGGCTTTCCCTCACAGCATCAGGTGGACGCTCTCCTCTTGCCACCTGGGGTCCAGGAGGGTGTCGGCTGGGGGCAGGGACAGCCCCTCCGGCTGCGGCCGGGCCTCTCGGCGGACGGCGGCAGAGGATTCTGCCGGGAACAGGTGTTTAGATGAGAGGATCCCGGAAGAGCTCACTGGTGTCAGGGGGTGGCAGAGCACATGGGCAGGGCCAGGCTGCCAGCCCGGCTTCAGGCCACTAGCAGAAAGCCCAAGGAAGAGGGGAGTGGGCGCGGGTCGGCGTGAACCACACCTGCCGTCGTGGGCGACCAGGATGGCTGGGCCATGCCGAGTCTGCGGCGGGTTTGTGGGCCTGGCCGGGCCCAGGGCAGGTCCGTCAGCCACCCTAGGGCCTCATCCCCCTCTACACAGAGGCCGCGTGGGCATGGGCAGCCTCTGGCACAGAGCCAGGCATGCTGACGGCACTGCTTTCGGCTTTGTTTTCTCTTCTCCGGCATTTCTGTCACTGCTCGGCTCCGGCCTTGCTGTCTTCTCCAGGGAACGCACGCTGTCCCGGCCATCTGTATCTTATTACATTTTTTTTTTTAATACAGGAGTTTGAATTCAGGACCTTGACCTTGCTCAGTTTGCTCGCTCAACTGGCATTCTACCTCTTGAATCACACCTCCAGCTTGGCCTTTAGCTGCTTATTTTGGAGATGGAGTTTTGTGACCTTTTCTGCCCTGGCTAGGTTTGAAGCATAATTCTCTGGGTCTCAGCTCCTGAGTAGCTAAGATTACAGGAGAGACCCGCTGGTCCCAGCTAATTGCTTTTTGTTTTTGGCCTCCAGATACCGTGCCCACATCCTTGGAGTGGAGGGAGGCGGGAGGCTGCGTGGCTCTGGAGGGCAGGGGCAGTGTGCCCCAGCAGCCCAGGCGCTGGGAGTCAGCATGGGTTGTGCCCGTGTTTGAGGGTGATCTGAGGAGGAACATGGTGCTGCAGCTAGCGGCTCAGGCCTGGTCTACAGACCTCCCTGTGGACCTCACACAACACTTGCTTCACGTGGGTTTTCAATGAATATCTGTTGACTCAAATGCCAGAAATCTGTTGGTCTAAACACCAGAGACCTTGTGCTTCCCCCGTCTCCCAGGACCCTCCCTGGCCATTGCTCCAGCCACTCCAGCTTGGCTGGAGGACTTGGACCTTCAACAGCTCAATGTTCACCACAGCGCAAAGGGCTGCGAAGAGCCAGGACCCGGCACCTGCCTTGGCAAGAGCTCAGCAGGGACCCGATACCAGGGCTCCGCTGGCCTTGGGGACCAGGAAAATGATCTTCCCACCCAGGACAAAGCCTCACACTGTGGGCTTTACTCTAATGTGGCTGGCAGGCAGACTGATTATTTTCACGTTCTAAATGACTCCTCTGAAACCAAAGGCACAGACAGGGTCCCACAGAGTCGCCAGCCAGCGGGGCACAGGACGCCCTGCCTCTCTGAAAAGCTTCTGCCTCATTGTCGTGGATGTGAAATGGAGATGGAACCTATCTCATTAAGTCCTTGGAAGAACGGAAGTGGCCTTGAAGAGCCCAGAAAGGCCACTTGGCCTTCCAGGAACCCAGGCCTAAGTCAGTCCTTGTGGTCCAGGCTGCTGCCGACTCCGCCCACTCGGCCTGTCCCCCCCACACCGCTGACCCCGGCCCCTCCCCCGGTGGCCAGGCCCAAAGCTCGGCCAGACCCAGGATACCGGGCACCGACTGGGTAACCTGCTTGTCACGACCCCCAGGAAACAGACTGTGGGCCCAGCCAGACACCATCACAAGCTGGGGCAGTGCTCGGAGCCCACAAGGTCCAGAGGGGCCATTCCCGGCCACAGAACAAAGCCGGAGGCAGGGAGGGAGTCCACCTCCCCTGCGGGTGCGGGGACCCAAACCCCCACCCCACGAGCCCCGCCAGAAGTTGGGGTCCAGCCTCGTGTGTGAACCCCACTGTGGAGACCCGCCAGGCGGCCCCACCCCGACGCCCAGCGACGGACGGGGGGGGGCGCTTCTGGGGGATGCCCCGACGCCTGGGGGAACATTCTCGGAGGAGGCCGGTCAAGCACCAGGAGGAAGGGGCCGAGAACGTGTGTGGAAAGCGACCCCGCGCTCCTCCTCTCCTCCCAGCCAAAGGGGCGCCCTTCCCCACCCAACACCTTCCAGGGAATTAGTCTCCCCCACTCCCCCAGCTGGGGGCAGGCGTGGGGCGGCCTGGCCGTGGGTCGCGGCCTGCCGTGGATCGCGCCTCCCTGGGGAGGTCGTCCTGCTCGCGGGCAGGCCCGTGGGTCTTCACTTTACCCCAAGCAACCTGCTCGCCCGCGGCGGGAGGAGGGGGACTGCCCCCAGCAGAGGGCCCCCTCCACTCGGCCTCCTCCGCGTCCCGGCCCTGCCACCGGCTCCCCAGCCTCGGACGCACCCTGAGGTTTCCGGGGTCCTGTTAGGCCGAGGTCGGAGGCCGCGTTCCCGCCCGGACCCTGCCTCCCGGCCCCCGCGTCCCGGCGCGGCGCCCGGAGGGATCGGCCCTCTGCGGGAACCCCGGTGCCCGGCGCTCCCCGCGCGGCCTTTCCCCGCGGCCCGGCCCGGCGCTCCCCGCGCGGCCTCCCCGGCCCACGGCGAGGTTGGCGGACGGTTTCCTGGCGTCGGAAATGGGAGGCTAAATGAGTCGCGATGTGCAGCGTCTACGGCTAATTCGGAGCGCCGCTCCCGTGGGCTAATCCTGTTAGTTGGCGGCAAAACGAGGGGAGGCTCGTGTCGTGGCGGGGGTGACTCTAACAGGCATTTTACGTCTCATGACGGTGCGGCCCGGGACAAAGGGGCGCCGCGC